TGAGGGATGGTCGAACACCACACAACCAGGAGCAGAAGAAAAGGAGGGACTAAGATGTCTGTCTCTGGAGACCTGCGTACAGTTTTATCAGCTCAGATGAAACCACAGCAACAGACAACTTTTGTTGATATTATGCTGTGGCATTAGTGTACAGTGCCCCTTTTCACATCTTCCCTCCCTTTGCATTCCCCAGAATTTTCCTATCAGCACAAGAGGAAAATCTGGATGAGTTTCACAAAGAGGGCAGAGGTACTCCATCTACAGTAATGCCCTAGGCTTTTTTTTCAAGAGAAAGATCTCTAAAATCTACAAAGGCATACATTTACAAATCCTGCTCATATTGCATGCCACTTGGAGGAATGGACAGGGCCCAGAGGAGTCTGAAGCCAGGCCAGCTACACAGAGCCAGACAAAGTGTCATTAGAAAAAAGGCAAGAAAAGAACGCTTCCCATCCATTATTCCAAGGGATATAAAAGACAAGCCCAATGAGAAAAGATTTTACATTCAAGCCCTAGGAAAGGTGCAAGGGAAAGCAAAATCCAGTTGATATTAGAATAGCAGTAGAGAATGAGAGATTTAGGGTACCATCTACCAGAAAAGTGTATCTAAATATTGGAGCCAAAATTTCACAGGAGGCTGTGGAGTTTCTGAAGAGATGACTATAAAATATTGCAGCAAACAGCTGCAGAGAAGTTAGACTAAAACATTTGAAGAATAAAAAAAAAAAAAGGAAGTTCACATAGCAGTTGCTAAAAAAAACCTACAGGACTGGTGTTTAAGCCAAGTAAATAAGTATATTAACACAGTGATAATTTAAACATTTTGATGTAGGCTGCACTTTCTCATTTAGCAGCACAGCTGTTTGAGCTGCCCTTATCTCCCTGCTGATTCCAGTCCCATCCCTTTCTCTGATTATGCTGGTACAGCTACTGTACATCTATGCAGCAATGAGAGGAGGGAATGATGCAGGTGAAAAAGAACCAGGCTCTGTACCCCTCACCCGGCTGGATCATTTCCCCTTGCAAGAGTCCAAGCATTTGTGCCAGTCCAATGGAAAAGACATGGACGATGCCTTTGGCCAATATTACTGCCAAAAAATCTTATGTGTAACTATAGTTTCAGTTCATCAGGCAGTAGATAAGCATCAAAAATTCCTGGATTTCTCAGGCTACCTGCTGTTTTCTAAGTTTAGAAATCTATCTGAAAAAGTTTCTGCCAAAAGAGGAAGATACAACCCAGCTTTAGTTCTTCCAAATGCAGGGGAAAAAAGATTTCCTAATAATCTCATTGACCAAACAAGCTATCACAGAACAACACTTAGAGGATCAGAGATTTTTACACATCACTTGAAGTCTCCCCTCCAAAAAGCGTGAAAACATCAAGGGTAGACATTTTTCTTTCAGTTTCCTGCATGAAGGTAGCTTCAAAATAGTTCACTATAAATAAAGCTTCCTGCAACTGTGTCTGAAGTAGCTAGTGTAGTCTTTGTCAGAGAACAACTGAAAAGTAACAAAATCTAGAACAGCAATTGGCAGGACTTTCCTATCTTTGGAACTATTTTTCCATCTTTAACCTAATGGCCTTAATTTATGACAAACATCAAATCTCAAAATATTCTCAGGAGAAAAATAGGAATGCTTATTATCTTAAGATAATCTCTCCTGTACCCCTCTGCACTTTGCTCAAAATCATTGTGAGTACCCAACAAGCATCGGTGCTGCTTTAAACTTGTATGTATGTGTATGTTTAAATGTTACATAAACCATATACATGCATGCAAACAGGGACATGCTTCCTCCAAATTCTTTACTCTCTCACCTTTAAGTGGCTCTTACACCACCTAGTTCTTTCCACTTCACACATAATACTCTATATCTAGCACTGCCAGGAAAAAAAAAAAAAAAAAAGAGAAAATCCTTGGCTGTTTTCAAGTGCTTTTTTTACCAACTAGAGCCTGGCACATCTTCACCTCCTGCACAGCTGATATGGCTGTTTTAGAAACGTGGAAAAATGGAAGGTGCTGTATTTGTTCTCACTCACCTTTTTAATTGCAGTATAATCAAGTGATTTAAAAGTTTTGAAGAACAAAATAGGTATCAATGCCTTAATGCTGGGTGATGTACATAGATCATTAATGGCAGGCTGTTCAAGTTTCATAATCACCATGAAATATGACCTCACAGACTGCAGATGAATCAACACAATTTTTGATTCAGAGGAAAAAAAAAATCACTGCCTAGTCACGAAACCTGAACTGTATGTAGGTAGGGCACCTGGGAGCTTGAACCAAATTCAGCAGGGTTGTTTCTGTAGATGAGGATTGCTGTCACGTCCCATGAAACTAACTTTAGTTAGATTGGTGGCAGAAAGCTAGCACGGCCTTCTCACTGCACAAAAGCCTTGAGAAGTGTGGCATGAGTAACTGATCCCCACTTGCTTCCAGAGATCCGAAAATAGAGGTGAAGTGTGAATATCCCATTTGTTTCAAAAGGGTGCCAACAAATTCCTAGTGAGGGCCTTGTCTGCTATCAAAATCTGCACCTACAGAGCTGTAGCTGCACTTAGGTAAGAAGAGGCTGTTTGCTTCTTACTGCAGCAGAACAGTTACTTAGCAGAATAAGATCTACAGAATATTTTATATTTGACATCAGTACCAGCAATAGCTTTGCTGGTGCAGGTTTCCAAGAAACAGACAGTCTGATGACTTGACAGTCTAAATGAGATGCTCCTAAATTTTCTATATCAGCAAACTCATCTCTCCTTTCAGACCTTTGGGCTTGGTTTTTTTGTTTTTTTGCTTGTTTCTTTCTTTCTTTTTTTTATCACCAGAAGTATGGGAGGAAAAAAACTCAGATGCAGCCCATTTATTACAGATCCAGACACCATGCTGAGAGTACTAATCTAATACCAGTGCTCTATCAATTATATGAAGGCATTAAAAATTATTACATTCTTCTTTCCTACGTGCAACTATTTCATTTTAGGTCACCTGTAAGTGATACTTAGCACATAAACAACCAACTCTTCGTGCCCTTTTCTCTCTGACCTGTGAGGTTACAAAGTTGGTGAGGAAATGCAGAGATCTGTGTCAAAAAATATGGATCTAAGTCTTCCACTCTATTATGAAATAGAATAAAATAAAATGTTGTGTTTCTTAAACTACAAAAAGACAACAAGGATTTTCTGTCCCATTTTTGTATTTAAAATGTAGTGTATATTCCATCAAAGCAAGAATGAATGAAATACATCAATGCTTATGCTCTCTTTAATCACTATCAACAGCTATACTGCTTACTAAAGTCATTAGATGTCTATTAATCAATTACAACTTCAGAAACCCTCTTCTCATGTTGGTATTATTCAGAGTGATGTAGAGCACTTTTGGCCTTCATTTCAAAAGTGGTGGTGAAAGTGACAGAAAACAGAACTTCATATACAAAGAAAACAGACCTATCTACACACGGGAATGGCAAATACTCATTTTGAATAACAACCTATTTCAGTGACTTTGTATTTTACTGTATAAATCCACATTTGTTGATCCAGGGAAAGGATGCGAGTCTCAAAATTCCTGTATTCTGAAACAGTGCTCAGTGGTCACAATGGGGCTAAACACAGATATGTGATATTCCTAAATAAGTCTCTGATCCTTTATTTAAGAACTAGGGAACTTGTTTCTAACCCCAGGAAAAAAACAAAAAACAAAACAAGTGTTATTCCAGAAGTAGATTATGTGCAAGTATTTCAATTTTTAAGAGGGAGAAACAAAAATTTAAAAACTGTTTCAAGAAGAAAAGTCGTATTACAAATAAAAATTTCCTATCCTTGTATATGTCTAGGAGGTGTAACAACTTTTGCTTAAAAAGTTTTTTGAGACTGCCATGTCGTTTTTACTTACTACAGTACACAAAAATGCAGATATCCAGGACTTGAAAGCAGAAATAAAGTCAAAACACTGTCTTATACTCTAGGCGAGAAAATGGGAAAAAAAGCGCCCCACAGCTGCAGCAAGGCAAAGCTGGTGTAAGGTGGAAAAAGGCAGCTGAGCTGACATTTGCTACTAAAGCTGGCATAGAGGTCAAATCCTGCTCGCTGTGCAGCACCCGAGTCTGTGGAAAACTGGCAAAAGCAAATCCCAAACCGAGATTTACCAGCCGCGGCCAGGCTCAAGTTCACTTTGGGTTAAAAATACTGCCAGGGGAGAAGCGGCGCGGCCGGAGGGAACCGTATCCCTGGTACGTGACCTGCGCGCCGGGCTCGGGCTGTGCCCGCGGGTCCCGCCCGGAGCGCGGTGTTGGGTGACCGAGCCCCGCTGCCCGGCGCGGCCTCCCGGAGACGGAGTGAGAGCGAACCACCAGACCAAGCGCTGCCCCAGCTTCCGAGCACAGATTTTTATTAAAGGCTTCTCGTCACGGCGCCGGGGAGCGCCCCGCGCCCTCGTGTCCATCGCGGCGGGAGTCTGTTTGTTTATCCGTGCGGCGCGCCCGGGGCGCCGGGCGAGCGGAGCTCCGGCGGGCGCGGGGGGCCCGCGGCGGCCCCGCGGGAGGGTCCCAGAGCCCGGCGGGGCCGGGGGCGGCCGCGGGGAGCGGGAGCCGGAGCGCAGCCGGCGGGGCGGGGAGGGGCGCGGGCGGGAGCGCGGCCGCCCCCCGCCGCCGCTCCCCCTCGTCGTCGTCCTCCGCCGCCTCCTCCGGGGGCCGGGGGGCGCGGCGCCCCTTCCCCGCCGCGCTGAGCGCCGCCGCTGGCTGCCGGCAGAGCCGCCGCCCGGCCGTGGCGGCCGCCGCCGGGCCGGCTCCCATCCGCCATTATCCTTTGTTCGCGGCGCGGCGGCGGCGGGGATGTTGCAGGGCTCGGCTCCATCTTTAAGGCGGGCGCCCCTCCCGCGGGCGGTGCGCGGCCGGGCCCCCGCGTCCTGCCGCCCGGCGGCTCCCCTGGTCCCCGCCGGGCTCCATTTCCTTCCCTCCCCCCCGCCCCTGTTTGCTGGGCGCCGTCCTCCTCTTACCGGTTACCAGGCTGCTCCGTCACTGCTTTCGTTCGCGCCTGGGATCTCGCCGCAGTTTTATTCTCTCCCCCACGTAACACACCGCGTCAAACTACACCTCCGCCGCGTCACTCACACACACAGGCGCTCCCAGCCCGGCGACAGGCAGGCAGCGGCCGACTGAGGAGCGCCAGCCAGGGAGCAAGCGCCGAGCGCGCCCGGCCCCGCACGGAAACCGCCGAGCGCTTACGGAAACCGCCGAGCGCCCGGCAGGCGGCGGGAACGGCCGAGCGCGCCGCCGGCCCCTGCGGAAATAGCCGAGCGGCCTCGGAAACGAACGAGCGCCCCGGAGGGGGAGGCGGAAAGAGCCGAGCGGGCGGCGGGAAGGCGCGAGCGGCGCTTCCGCCCCGGGGCGGCCACGCGCGGGAAGCCCCGAGTGGGGCTCTGCGGGGGCGTGGGGCGCGCGCGCTTCCGAACACCCCCACCCCGCGCTGGGCGCGCGCGCGGCCGAAGCGTCCCGAGCGCTCACGGAGGGGCCGAGGGGACCCGAGGGCGCGTGCCCCAGCGCGCGCCCGGCACCCCCGGGACCTCCTGGGGCGCAGCCCCCCCCGCCCCGGTTCGGCGAAGGCACGGGCTGGAGGAGATCTCTGAGATCATCCAAACCGCGGCCGAACGCGACCCTGCCAACCGGACCGTGGCACTGAGTGCCACATCCGGTCTTCATTCAAACCCTCCAGGGCTGGTGACTCCACCACCCGCATGGGTAGTCGGTTCCAATGTCTAATCACCCTTTCTGTTAAGAAATTCTTCCTAATGTCCAACCTAAACCTCCCCTGGTGCAGCTTAAGACTATGTCCTCTTGTCCTGTCACTTGCTATCTGGGAGAAGAGGCTGATGCCCACCTGGCTACAACCTCCTTTCAGATAGTTGGGGATGATGGGCCCACCCCCAAGTCTCCTCCAGGCTAAAACAACCCCAGCTCCTTCAGCCTCTCCTCACAGGACTTGTGCTACAGACCCTTCACTGGTTTCACTGCCCTTTGGACACGCTCCAGCCCCTCAATGTCCTTCCTGAATTGAGGGGCCCAGAACGGGACACCGTACTCGAGGTGTGGCCTCACCAGTGCTGAGGGCATGGTGAGAACCACTGCCCTGGTCCTGCTGGCCACACTATTCCTGACACAGCCCAGGATCTCACTGGCCTTCTTGGCCACCTGGACACACTGCTGGCTCATGTTTAGCTGCTGTCAACCAACACCTCCAGGTGCTTTTCTACCAGGCACTTTTCCAGCCACTGTGCCCCCAGCTCATAGCAGGATCTGGGTTATTGTGACCCAAGTGCACGACCTGGCACTTCATCTTGTTCAGCTTTATGCCTTTGGTCTCGGCCCACTAATCCAGCCTATTCAGATCCCCTCTGCAGACCCTTCCTGTCCTCCAGCAGATTGACACTTCCTCCCAAATTTGTGTTATTGTGAATTGCTAATGGCACACTCAATCCCCTCATCCACATCATCAGTAAAGATATTGAATAGGACTGGACCCAACACTGATCCCTGGGGGATATCCCAAGTGACCGGCCGCCAACTGGATGCAGCATAATTCAACACCGCTTTCTGGACCTGGCCATCCGTTCAGTTCTTAAGCCAGTGAAGAGTGCACCGGTCCAAGCTGTGGGCTGCCAGCTTTTCCAGGAAAATGTCAATTTCAAGGAATATGGTGTCGAAGGACCTGGCATGTCCGTGCACACACACTGGCAACATGGGGGACCAACTGCCCCAGGCCCAAGGGGATCCCCTCTTGCAGTGCCCCACTGCTGGAGAAGACTCCTTTCCTTGGCCCCCAGTGTCATCCCAAGACCCAACCACCCCATCCCTTCTCTGTGGCCGAGGTGGCGGTTTGCACACTTGGCGCCAGCCCCCTGCTGTGTCACCTCTCAGGAGGGGCAGAGGTTGTCACCACGGGGCAGGGGACATGGTATGAGTTTGTGTCTTATCAGAGAAAAGGACCTGTGGTCCTCAGTCTCATCTGCAATGCCGGTGTGATGTCTGTTGCAGGGGTTTTAAACACTGGGTAGGTGAACTGTTTCTAGGAAAGGTTTTTCAAATAGTTGAGGCCACCAGGGAGCAGGGAGAGAACCAGTGGTGCTCCATCTGGGTGAATCCATACCAGTCTTCTCAAAGTTCACAAATGCAGTTGAATGCACTCGATCATACACCTTGAAGAATGGACTGCCCTAACTACAATCAGATAAAAAGTACCCATATCCAAAGAAACTGCTTTTCATTTCCCAAGACCTCAAGATGGCACTACATAACAAGATTTGAAGCTCCAAATCTGGTTCATTTTTGCAGCTGGCCTGGCACGGCACCACTGCCAGGTGCGCCCCATCGCATGGCACTGGTGTGCTGTTTAGTTCAGTTCATGTCAAGTCGTGTTTTCTCAAGAACATTGAACTGATTTCACTTATGCTGAGTGTCATCTATCTCCACTAAAAATTACAAGAGATGGCACAGAGAGCAATTATAGCTTTGCTTTGCCTTTGATTTTGTTGATTACAGTTATTCTGAAATAAACTGAAAAGAATCCACTTTTAATATTAAATAAAAAAAAAAGGAAAAGGTAGATGAAACAGCTAAAACATTGTTTCATTGACAACACATGCAATGGCTTGGGCCACAGCTCATTTTCTGCTTCAGCTGTACTGTTTCTCTCAGCCCTTCCTGCAGACAGGAGCTCCAAGGTTGCAGCACGGCGTAGTCTTGGCTGCCACCCACTTCTCCCCCGGGGTGTTGTGGACCTGTGCCATGCCTTTGGCTCAGACCCAATCCTGTCTGCAGTGTACGGCTGGTATAATTTTTGGAAATTATTTTCCCTTTTTAGACTCCGTTAAGATATGAAAATCTCCATCCACTAAATAAGTCTTTCACAACTGCTATTGGGAGCAGAATGTTTCTGCCATTTAAAGCTTTTGAGACAGGAGAGAAATCTAAAATCAGTGTTCCTAACTTGGTCTATTCATTGACAGTGAATGGAAATGCTTCTCAGTTTGCAGCAGTAGAGGTGCAAAAGGTTTGTCTCACCATCATGTCCTTGTCATTTCACTAGATACTGAGGTAGAGGGTTGTTTTTGATAGTGTTTTGACATTTGAACTACAGCCACACTGCACAGAATTTTAATATTGTAATGTGTGTTTAATAAAGTATATTCTATGCATTTTGTTACCATGTACAGATGCGAATCGAACTAGGTAATTAAAACTATGTTCTAATTAATCTAAATTAGGACATTTTGCTAAAACTTCTCTGTTTCAAGGAGTGATTCCAAGACCAAAGTGTAATGATTCAGCCTTTGTGCTCCTTTTAGGAGAAGCAAAGTACTTTCTGTGAGAAAATATTTATAATGAGCAGAACAAATGTAGCCCTCTGAGTGTCTTGTTTGACTCATGGTTTTCTTTGTCTGTTTTCACATCCCTCTCCTTCCTCTTTGTGTTAACGCATCAGCTTTTTTTTACTCCCATAAATGAGCAAAATTACGTTTATTCTCCACCCATGCATGTTTCCCAGAACTGGATTGCTTGTCCTTGTGCAAGGACCACAGCAATAAATCTTTAAGGGAATAAACTCTGGTCCTCAGAAGGACCAGAGTACACTAACCATGTTTCAGCAAATGGCTTCCATCAGAAACCTGGGCAGCACTCTTGGCCTGAGTGATGACAGTGGTGTTGGTAGTCCCCTCGACCAACCAGGACTGCCTTTATGTAGCTACACAGATCCTTGTGTGGCTCTGATCCTGCTGCCTGTTTAGGGCTGATGCCCTGGTGGCCTGCTGACTCTTGCCAGCTCTTCTCTCACTCACAGCTCCCTGGCCGGCTCCTCAGCACTTCTCTGAAAGTCTGTAAGCCGACTGAAGAGTTTGCAAGGGGCATCTTGAGCGGTGGTCACTTCTCTGCCAGGCGGTGTAGGCTTCCCATACAACAGATAGTTACTCAAGAAAGCAATTTATCTATCTCAGACTAAAACAGATGCCTCGGATAGGCCAGATGTCTGAAGGAATTTGAGATTACACCCAGTGTTGTGTGTCTTTGGTATCTCCACCTCTTGCGCTATCACTCATCACTGAGGCTTAGACCATAGATGGATGGAAATTGGTTTCATCCTTGACTCATACTTGCTCAGCGGGAAGGCTGGGTGAACATCTCATAGACAACTGCTGTGAAACCTTCTGAAAGCTGTTTTGCATATTCCTCCTTCCCTTCTGAGAAAATTGGGGCACTAAGCAAACCTGGAACTTCTTTGGGAGGGAGAGTGAAAGTCTAAGCTGCAAAAGCCCCTTCCCTGACATCTACACCTTCCTTTTGGCTCGTGTCTTGGGGAATCTAGAAAACAGGAAAGTAACAGTGTGCCAATTACCCACAAAGCCCAATAGGAAGAGGCTGACTTGGTGAGTTGGAATGCTCAGCAGTTTTCTCATTTGTCAGCGCAAGTTTGCTTGATGATGAGTGAAACCCAGCAAGACTAATTGCTTTTCTTACAATTAAGCCTCAGAGACAAATTTATTAGCTTTGCAGCCTCCAGGTTGGTTACCCTGTGTAGTGGGTGTGCATACAGCATTGAAGTTGATTGCCCGTGGCCCAGGATTTGTAGCGGCTAATGAGTGACATGTAGATCAAGGAAGGTTTGCGCTTGGCTCTGTGGTGTGGCAGGGCCACAATGTACAGGAGTTAGTCTGGAGCAGCCAACTCTGCTGGCACTGGCAGATGCAAGATAATATTTGTTGTGAAAACACAGGCACACCTGCATTTTCAGTCTACATACAGCTGTAAAGACTGCAACACAGAAGTGTTTTTTACAGGTCATGGCCATCTTTGGGAATGATTTATAACAAAATAATCTTTCAGCATCAGACGCTCACTGACAATTTCTAGAGGGCCAGTGTGGTCTGGCAGTGGAGGGACACACAGAGTATGTTTTGTACAAATATGATATTAAGCACAAGTATTGCTGGGGAGAAGAAAAGGCAGCGTGTCTCCGGGGTTTTACAGCTGCATTCACTAATGGATATTCTCCCAAGGAAAAGGAGAGTATTTGCAAAAAATGAAAGTGGAGGGGGACAGATGTTACATTAGACAATAAAGATTCCAACACTTTTCAGTGTATAGAGTATTGCATTGCAATTTCCATCCTATACAAACTGAGCAACTGATTTTAAAGCAGATGTAGGAG